CATTATTTGACCAAGCTGAGTTCAAAGATAGAGCAAGTTTTAAAAAACCCTTGAAAGTTGAAAAGTACACTTTAAATTATAATAAAGAAGCTGTGGTGGTGTTCTTTCTACTAAATATAAGAAAGCTGTAGCTTTAAACCGTGTGCAACAACATTATTTTAAGAATACATGCAAGATAAGAGTTAAAATGTGTATATAAAATCCTATATGATCTCAGATTCTGTTGTAGTGAAACTGTATGTTATATAGAGAGGGCATGTATAATATACGTGTATGTATATATAATAAAATACTTGCTGGAATTTTAACATTTGACTTTACTAGAGATTTAGTGGGACTTTGCCTCAGGCAAGTTTTTAATAGCAATAATAAAAAAATACTTAATGGTACTTAGGGTAAATAATGTGTGGTCACTATGTTTAAAAAGAGTAATACCAAACATCTGTGCTAGATTTCCACATGATAAAATCCCCACATTACCCACAGTTCTCCCAAAGTTATAGAGAAAAAAATGTTTATTTAAAATTGTAGAAGAGACATGTGACAACCAATTTAAGAACTTTAAGCCAGGCACCTTGTGTTTTCTGACAGGAATGTATATTTAGTGATCTTCATGATATTTAACTCTGAACATGAAGAATGCCATGGTACGACATTATGGCTTCAAGACAGATTTTGAACTGTTAACATGCTTACAGGGAGACTACCCAGCCCAAGAACGTCCTGTTTCTTACATGTGTGTATTTACAAAGACCACTTTGTTCTATACAGGATACGTTGTTTCCTTATCAGAGCAAATGCTGTATTATTTCGTCTCAGAAAATATCAATAAAATTCAGCTACCTTTGAAAAACATTAACAAAAATATTTGAGTGAGGTTAGTTAGTTACAGACACAGGATTCAGTCTAACTCAGTGATGGAAAACTGAGTGCAAACTGGGCAGTTCTCAGAAACCATGGAAAAAAAGCTCAACGTTCTCTCCTCAATATGCTGCATCTCAAACTGAAGCAGAAACAAATGCTCACACTTTTCGCTACTCAGTTTTATTTGTTCTTTCTTGCTTTGTGAATCAGCAACTAAGGAAACTTTGTTATAACTATTGCAAAGCTGGGAATCTAGCTATCTTTGTGAAAGCTTATTGCCTAGATTTTAAATTCCTTAATCCTTAGAAAGAAATCTAATCCCACTTTTTGCATAGCTGATTTCTCAACATTTTAATGAACCTTACCAACACTGATATTCTTTTCTATTCCAGTAAAAGAGCAGGATTCCAACTTCAGCTGAAGTGTCCTCCTCCTCCTGTGTAATAAGACTCAAATTTGCCATTCCTAAAACCTTCAAACACAAAACTTGAGTAAACCTATCATCACAAGTTCACCTCTGGGAAACAAAGTTTAAAGATGCAGTAGACTGAGCACCGCATAAATGCGCAACGTTTGAGGGCCAGGTAATTAACATGCCAAAGTCAGTCCAAATCTGCTACAAACAGGAAAACAAAGAAAAAAATGGGTTGTTTTATTTTTCGGAGTTATTCTTATACCTCTGGTACACTAGCTATTTTCATGTCTCTTCCCTGTACCTTCTCTAAGAAATATAATCTAAGGCCGGGAGAAATTCCACATCTTCAAAGGCAGCTATGTTATGAAATTCTGCTGTGGCTATTCACAGGAAAAAAAGAAACAATAGATTAAGAAAGAGAAATTTTTACATGATTCTTGAATATGTGGCAAATTATTTTGAATCCAAATAGTAGGATATTCATTTTACGGTAACGTGCATGCTTACATGAAATGGGTAGAAAATGAATACAAGAAACAGTTCATAATTGACAAAGTGTAGAGACTGAAGAACAACACAAAAAGTTACTTCTCTCTGCCTAGTCAAGTTAACTTTGATAGAATCACTAGCTAGATAAAATCAGCTCTGGAGTAACAAAGAATATATCCCACACTATACGATTCCTAGTCTGATCAGTGCTCAGGGGGGTACAGGTCAAGGAGACAGAATTGACAGCCATTGGAGACATGGGTGTGTAGAAGAGGGTCCTCTTAATTGCCAATGTTTCACAACCAGTTGCTTCAGTTTCTCCCACAGCATGTTAGTTTAGTTCTCTGGTTTGGTCAAAATTCCACCTACCAGTGATCATTAATAAGAAAATCAATTTATTCTGCTTCTCATCCATTAGCTTCCTATTCGACAACATTGAGAGATCTAAAAGACTGTGAATGAACAGGAGACAAGACAGATTCCAGCTTTGGCACTATTTTAAAGCCCTAAAAAATGAACGACATAAGGTAGAGAGATACAGTTGCGCTAGGGGAAAACGTGTTCAAAAGCTCAGCAAAATGCACAAAAGACTTGGCCTTTCTCCAGCTAGGATTTAAAAGGTAACAAGATGGTACACAATTAGATCTCAAGAACCAAAAAACTTCAGATTAAACTAAAGACCAACAGCATAGCTTATGAGAAGTCCATCTATTTATGCTTTTTAAGGTAGTGTTGAGGCTGTAGAAAATCAGTAGTCTTCACTTATTTTTTCCACATTCAACCTCATTTCCACTATGTTCAGCCTTTTTTCCCCCCATAGGTAGCACTGTCTCCGCTGGAGACTACAGCAGAATCTATCATTCTAAGGGTAAATTGACACACTAAAAAAATCTGATCATCGAATAACTTAATTTGCTGCTGCAGAGAAATTTATCTTCCTTAACTTGTTTCAAGCGCAGTGGCAGAAATTCAAATAGCAAAACTAATTAAAAAACAGAAACAAGTATTCAGGATTTGATCAAACGGTATGTTACACATGACAACATACCAGTTTCTCAGAAATATATCCAACATGAGCATAATACTTCAACCCGTAAAAATACAGAGAGCAGAATATTTTAGATGAAGTTCTAAAATGGCAACTATTTTGTTAAAGATATAGAAATTTGAGTGAATACTAAATAATTAATGGATGGAATTAATTAAAAATGTATCCAAGTTCCAGTTTACTTACAAAGCATTCTCAAGAAAAAAAAATAATAATCCAGTAACTCTACAAGGTCATTTACACATTTAGGATGAAGACTTACACTCACTAGTTTAAAAAAAAAAAAAAAAAAATCAATCCACTGAAGAGAATACTGCAGAAGATTCAACACAGTAATTCCTGTTTTATCATGTCGGAAGACTCTATTGTGCAGGATGAAGACTACATGCAGTGACAGCAGAGCACTGCAGAATAACAAGGATTTACCAAGCTACATATGAAGTTGATCCATTTGGACTTTTAACAAATAGATAAAACTGTACAGCATATCTGATACTTTCTCCAAGCATGCAGACAACTTCCCATAACAAGACAGCAAGACACAAAATTTGAACCTCAGAATATTTTCCAAGAGCCCACTTGAACAATCAAAGCCAGATTACTGGGGAAAAAAAAAAAAAAAAAAGCAGGCAACGTACTAAACATTTAGTTTCTAAAGGGTTCATACATCCTACACATCATACTTCTAAGGTCCCTACAGCAAACTTCAAATATGCAGGAAAAAAAACAAACTTAAAAAAAATCAAAACCATAAATACCATGTGCAACAGGAAGAGAGCCAGAGAGATAGACTTTACCCAAAGCCTTTATAGAACTTCTCCCACAATCCTCCCTCATCACAAACTCAGTATCATTAATCCCTTATGCAACTTCTTTCAGGATCCATTGACTTTCAGAATGGGTGGCATCACTTTGTAATTAAAATTCTGCCTGTGAAAAGATTCAGGATCCACACCTTCACAAGAAAACTTTACTGAAATGTATCATTGTGCCTTGCAAATTTTCCAGTTTCCAAGTTTCAGATGGGCCCCAGATACCACTGAAGTCTTTAATATTCTAGGTTAGAGAAGACCAATAAAAAAAAAAGAAAAAAGAAAACTAAAGTAGCCATAAACTAAATATAAAAGAATTTGCCCATAGCAAAGATAATATTTTGACAACATTCTGTAGATGTACATAGCTGTTCTTAATCTCTAGCATGTTTAGTGATATACAGGAGCCAATAACAGTTTTTTATGTTCTTAAACTAATTTTATGCATGCTTTTATCTGTCAGGCAAATTGATGTTTACACTAGACTAGAAGTCAATAAGACTACACTGTTTCTATGGAAACCCACCTGTTCCTCACAATTCCTCTTACTGTGTACTCAATCTCCCTGCAATTCTCACCCTTCTTAGCAGGAAGCAACAGGATCTTTCTGAGGAAGACTCACACCGTCTTGTTTGCCTGACACCAGTAACATAATAATGGTGATGGGCTGCTGGGATGTAGAGGGGCAGATGGGCTTGACACCAGCCCAGATTTTCTTTCAATTGTACCAATTAAATCATCCCAAATCCAGTTCCCAAAATGCATCCACAAGTGATGGGGGCAGCTGGTGCAGGTGGGCTTGGCACCAAATGAAGGATCTATCAAGGTACAGGGCAGCCATCACCCCAGTGTTTTAATGTGCAACATTATGTGATATATTTACTCAGAAAGTTGGGGCACCAGACATGAAAATACATCAGAAATGCACATAGGCACAAATGCCTTTGTTTATATGGAAGGCAAAACATTTTAAATACTAATTTCAAAAACAAGGGGTAAAAATCAAACACAAAAGTAGCATGCACTCATGACTACTTTATAGCAATGGAAAGTGTTACTTCTCTCTTCAGTAGTTCTAGTATTCATTTGCCAAACACTAATTTGTCAAAATACAAACAATACAGAAACTATGCAAAGCAGCAGACAGTAAGCCCCAAATATAATTACTTTTCTTCCATAATTTCTTATACTTGCTTTCAAATATCATATAGCCCTGTTGTGTATTTATTACAGATCTAAACCAAATGCATTTTATTATTTTTATTAAAAAATGAGAGCAGAAAAAGAACACTTAGATACTCTAAAGTATATTTCTAAAACTGCAGCAAGTACTTTGACAATATCTTTTAAATGAATAAAAGTTTTTTCTTACCTCTCTAAGATGCATGTTTTCCTTCTCCTTCTGATCTAAAATCACTTCTAAATGATTAACCTGAGATTCAGCCTCTGCCATCCTTCGAGTTCTCTCATTGTCATCTTCCATTCCTTTAGATGGCAAACCTTTACTTTGCAACATTTCCAGAAGCTTTTTTATTGATTCATCTCTGGCATTTAGTGTTTGCTTTTGTGTTTCAATCCTAAGCTCCATTTCTTCTAGCGTTTTTCTCAACAGGAAGAGCTCTTTAGCTTGTCTATCGTGTTCTGCTTGAAGTCTTCGAAAATTCTCCTCTGTGAGCTCAATGGTAAAATGCTCAGCCCCCCGGTTTCCACTTTCTTGCTGTAGAAGATGGTTAAGGTCTCTCTGGGTTCTAAGCTCATCTTGAAGTGCCTGGATTGTCATTTGCAGATGCTGTAATAAAGAAAAGAAAGAAAGAAAAAATAATAAATCAATTTAGGACCTGAACGTAGGACTAGTCTTTGATTAAACTTTTGTTGTACACTGTTACAAAAATTCATTAGAATCAATGATGAAAGTATATAAAATGACCTTATAAAATAGCAAATGCATGTGACAATATTTTTATGATATCTTTCAAGTGCTTCTAGGAAAAAAAAAAGAAAGACAACACACAAAATAGTTTCAGCTACAGTAAAAATAAATAGCAAAGAAAGGCAAACCAACAAACCCAAACACTAGGCAGTGACACATCCATTAATAACAGTCAATAGGTACCCATAAAGCTGAAAGACTCAGTATTCCATGTTTTCTAAATTACTTCAGAGACTAAAGGTAATTCTGCCCTTCACGGTTCTCAATAGTACTGTTGTTTATAAAGTCAATCAAAGCACTCACTATAATTGAAGGGGGCTTTGGGGAGGGGCTGAGTTGGGGCTGGTTGGTTTTGTTTTTTTCTTTTGGCAACTAAAGCTATGAACATGTTTACTAAACAGGATTACTGTATCTCTAACAAGCAAACAAAAAAACACAGTAAGCAATACCAAATTTTGAAAAATAAATTGACTGCAAATAGTGGACAAACCTTTGTTCTCCTGGCATCCAAAAACTGAACAGCATGGTAAATGAAAAAATGAAGCAAAATCAACATAAATAAAGGTCAGATGCAAGCAAAGGAGATTCAACAGAAAGAACTGAATTCAACAAAAAGTACCTTCAACAGAAAAAAATTTATTGAGTTATACAGAAAGGCACCAACAACTTCACAGTACTCAAGTATACAAACCTGAACTATGGACAGACTTTACTTAATAGATGTAACAAAGAAAAACATATTAGAAAGAATTAATCCCACAGTGAATAATAACATTCCTATTTTACCTTACACTGTTCTTCTACACTTCAAGGTTTTTCAAAACACAGTAACTTGTCCTGAAATACTTGTTCTAAATCTGAGTACAGGAGTCTTTCTCTGTTCAAGAGGTAATCCTTGCACTCCATATTCAACACGAAAATCAAAAAGGTTTTTCACCATGCTAAGATTGGAACATAGATAGTTATCCTTAAATTACTATGGTTTCTTATGTTCATGTTAGATTATATTTTTTCTTCTTATTTTTTCCTGCCTACACAGCATATTGAATTTATAGAAATACTAATTCCTGAGTAGCCACATGGTCTGTATTAGAAGACTTTTAAATGCAGGAATTAGATGACTTAAATGCACGGCACCAGACTTTTTTGCATTAATGGATATTCTGCAACTCCATATTCTAAAAACAAAACAAAAAACCCAAACAACCAACAAAACAAAAACAGACCAAAAAAAACCTCAAAACACACCCACATCCAACAAACACCCCACCACAAAAAAAAAAAAGCCACCAACCAAACCCAAACCCACAAAATCCCACCCAAAAAACACCACACAACCACATATTTCACTAACACATGAAATTAGTATGGGAGGCTTCTTCATTTCATTTGGAGGACTTGGCAGTGTTAGGTTTATGGTTGGACTTGATCTTATAGGTTTTTTCCAACCTAAATGATTCTATGATTTGATACTACATTCCCATTTAGCACACAAACATCGAAAGCTGTCAGTTTGTATCAATAATTTAAACTACATGAAAAACGCAAAACCTTAAGAAAATAACCTTTTGAAATCATGTCCTTTATCAGTTATTTCAAATGGAATAAAGTATTGCCCGTGGTGGAATTCTTTAGTTAGACACTTTGAATCTGTTCTATCATTAAATAGCACTTTTTTAATAAACGTCTGGATCTCAGTTCCTTAATATTTGCATCTTATTAGGCGTACACTCAGTTAAGAGCACATAAATGTAGGTTACCCATTTACAGCTCTGCTTTTATTCAATGGTAATTCTTACCTTTTCTTAATCTCGTCATCTTTTTAATTATTTATCTAAACTTAAAAGCTCACAATAAATTTAGACCTCCTCTAGATGTAGCAATCGTCCCACTTTAAATATACTAATGTACTGAGTATTTATGACCCCCAGATTGACAGTTTTAGCACAGAAATTCAGTGCATAAATCCAAATCAAATTTTCAAATAGTACAGAAATTATATTCAGTGATTATCAGGAAGGAGCGAATTAACAAAGACAAAGGAAGGCAATGACAAATAGGGACAGATGCTGCAAAGTAAACAGAATCAAAAGTATTTCTTGTTAAGGGCTTTTTCACTGTGTTAAGTCATAGGGACATAATTTTTGTAGATTACCTCAACCAGACAATACAGTGGTTTTGCCAAACTGGTGTATTCCAAACTAAATGACATCTTGGCATTAGACAACACAGACTTATTGTATTCTCTAATCCTCTGTAGCTTTGTAACACTGAAAGTTGGAGAACAGATACTTGAAATTACTGAATTAAAAGTAATTCTGTTTTTACTAAAGAGTTTGCAAGTTTCCTTTCTACAAAAAAAATATTATTTTTCTTCACTAACATAAGAGCAGAACTATGGATGAAATCCTGGTTTAAGAGTATTAAAAAGAAAAGGAATAAGAAAACCAGAAACCAATTTCACGTTACATTACATTCTTCAATATATGACCATTGAGATGGAAAAGGCAAGGGAGCAGGTAAAAGTAACATTTCGCTTTTTTTAAAAAAATGCAAATTATTGGAAAAATTATGGCAGACATCTCAAAGAATATATTGGAATATCTCCATTCTCATCTTTGAGAACATTTTAGCTTAGGTGATGATGTTGGAAGATACTTTAAAATTACACTCAATAGTTTGTTTCAGTGACATGACTGGTAAGTATTTAAGAACTCATAATACAAGTTTCTATACTGAAGCTCAAGGAACATTTTTTTTTCTGTTCAGGTTTTGTTGTTACTGGTTGGGGGTGGGGTGGGGACATGCACTTAAATCCCAGTTTCTGACAGAAAGCAATTATGCACGAGACTCTCAGCTTCCATTTACAAAAATACATTTTTATTCAAAGGCTTCAAAGGAAACCGTGAGTGCTGCAAATGTGACAAAGAATAAAAATATCACAATCAAATAAAAAAGAATATTTATAAAAAATTTTTCACTCAATCTTATAATTTAGGGAAACAGTTTCATTTTTTAGGACTTTGGACTTGGAATTATATAACTGACCTGACACATCTTTACTTGTCTTTCCCATTATGGAATGAAGTCTGGCTTAGAGCTTATTGAAAATTTTCAAATGGGTAATTATGGAAAAATTGATTTGTATCCATTTAAACTATTCATAAATTTGCATCAAGCTTGGCAAACAGCACCTCTCAAAAGAATTCAAGAAATATTTTCTTTCTTGTTTTTCAAATTAGAAGTTCAAACTTTAAAACATTTTCATGCTTGTTTTGATTTTAAATTGTCTTCTTTTTTTAAATGGAGTCAGAATTTTTAAGTGAAATGTTTCCTTTTGATAAAAAAAAAAAAATCATTCAACATTAAACAAAGAAATTTCCCATTTAATTCATTAATTTTCAGGTTGGTGTCCACATCAGTTATCAGTCAGAGTTTCGTCTCGGGGCATTCTTTCGAAGAATGAAGCTCATATCTATACATACTGCAAAACAATGACTGGCTGAAATAATGCACATATAAAGTTTACTTTGCATAACAACAGTAAACTAAGTCCTCCACATTCCAAAATTGTTTCACTGCTATGCAACAGCAATATTCAACAACTACCAGTAGTCTAGAAATAGTCAAAAGAATTGTTTTCTCTGATCTGAATAATGATTTGATATGTCCTCCTAATGTTACATTAGACAATATTTACTACTTTATGCTAAAAACTATTTACAAATAAATGTTTTCCCAAAGTCAAGCAGTCACTGTACACCAAATGCCTATATGCCTATGAGACTTTAGCTAAGCAAAGAGAAACTAATTTCTAAAATATTTAAAATGTTGTAAGACAAAAAAAAAAGCAAACTACATACAGGTTAATATACAGCCATTCTGAATACAAGCTGTAAAAGCCAAAATTGTTGGATCCACACACAAATAATAATAAGTCAGAACTCAAACAGCAATTCTGGTAAGATAAACCAGACAACCTATGTATACGGTTCTCAGGTTCTACCCATAACCATGTTTGTCACTGAGCACAACAGTAGTTGTGGCTGCTTCTCAGTAATTATGTCAAAACTAACAGCCTCAACTGTGGCAGACTACTGCTACTTTGACATAAGAGAATCCATTTTTGTACACCTTCAAGACTTAGATCTCTCTTTGAACAGGATGGACCAGATTTAGACTTGTGCTGGCACAGATTTCTGTATCTGCAGCTAGCTAAGAAAGGAAAGAACAAATGTTGTGAGGGTGGAAAGAAACTGTATAATTAATTGCAGTGGGGGAGGAATGTAGGAGTGCTGTGAGTATCTGTCACGCTGCTGTCATTACATAGACAAAGAACTTACTTTAAAAAAAATGCAAGGTTTATCATATTTTTCATAATTTCTACAGACCAGTTGACCAGAAATATTTCCATGCCAATCTCTTGGTAACGTATAAATAGTTCTCCCAAAACTTTTTCTTTCCTTCTCTATAGCCCGACTCCAAGATGCAATCCATGGAACTGCACAGGAAGTTCCATTAAACTTTCACTGAATTAAGCATAGTGCGGGTTTTCAAAATTTGTCCCCACAAATTGAAACAAAACTATGACAGGAAGATGAATTAATGGCCCTTCCTACATTCCAATTCATGTTCTACCCAAGGAAGTTCCTCTAATCTGTGCCAACTGGCTATTGCCAAAGGAATTGTCTGCAGAGAACTGTCCTGCAACAGCATGCCTTGGACCAGACTGCATAAGCACTTTCAGAGCACCCCAAATTCTTAGATATATAGTGAACAGTGGAGAAAAAGGAAACCTCAGGGAGACTCACCAATTTAAAATTGTTAGTCCACCTACAGAAGTACACAGCTTCTTGTAT